GTTTAAATATAATGATGCTATTCATAAATTCTTTAAACCTTCAATTCTCTCTCTATATTTTTTTTTTTAACAATGATCGCTTGAAAATTTATAATTTACTAAAATTTTGACACTTGAATGAAGCAAAAATTTAAATTTTAAACAATGGTACTGACATAAAAAATTTTAAATAATTATATTGCAATATTCATTAATCTTTGCAAAATTTAATCAAATCAAGTTAAATTATTTTTTTACATACAATTTCGCATATTTAAATTTTATGAGGCTCTCAATTCTACCAATTTTATTGAAAGATTAGTTTGGATCAAGATACATGAACCAGAGAGCGAAAATAGTTTCTTTCGTCAAGAACCCTTCTTGAGAATCAGTGGTTGTTGTTGTTGGTAGGCTAACGATATGCAAATTCCACTTTTATGCTCTTGTTTCACAAGCCAAGTCTCTGCATGAAATCCCGGGAACAAGGAAAACCACTTTGCAGCGAGCGCATAATTAATTTTCTCGGGGAAAATAAAATACTAATGCGGTCGGAGAATCAAATCTCGATTAGGATCTTGGCATAACTGTGTATGGGTGCGAGTGGATCCACTTCCTCATTACAATTTTAAATCGCAGAGGGTTATATTCATGAAGCGTGTGCATCATTACAAACTTTGGCTAACGAAGGCCCAGCAGAAAATGAATATTCACCAGAGAGCGCGGGCCGATTTCTGCCTTGCCCGTTTTCCGAACAAATAAATATTCACGGCCAGTGGATGGCTGAGCGCATCAGAAACCACCAATGTGAGATCGTTCGGTTGGTAAAAATGGCTTGGGCAGGACAAACAAATAACACACTGCTGATAAATGTGCGTCGAGCACATAATTGCCTTAATTGATTGCGTCGGAGCGGTGACGTTTTGTAAACAAATAACGATTTGCATTTGACGTGCGAGAGAAATAAATTTCCGTTTGCGTCATGAATTCCTAGACTGGTTAATAGAATATCAATTTTTTTTTATCCTACAGCGATCCGTGATAATTTTCTTGTCATTATTAAAAGCTTCCATCAGCAGTAATGCGAATGACGGAAATCTGGCAGAGATGTGAATTTAATGATTAAATTCTGCCGTCTCTTTATTTCCCCTGACGCGAAAACATGTTATGCAAAATTTGCCGCACCCGAAAATTTACCTCTTTTAAAATGCGGGCCCAAATGAAAAAAGTTTGCTCGTGATAATAAAACGGATGAATGCAAATGACACAATTTCCCCGACGCCATACTTTTAAAAGAGGAACATCTTTCTTGTCCTCCTCCTTTCTGTTTTTAATCACCCCTAAGTGGCGCTAGAACAAAATCATAGTTTAAGTCACTCGTGCGCGCGCTCTACTGCACGCTCTCGCCTAACTACTTTCTACTCAAGTTCTGCGAAAGAGGCAGAGTGAGTTGCGGGGGAGCGAGCAAACTTATACTTGCCTGCCCGCAACTTAATGGCGACTGTAACTTTTTTAAGAACCAAGTTTGCATCTGCGGCCGGTTGGGGAGACAATTCCTCGAACTCCCGGCCCGAAATTAATCATGTTTTTCCACGCAGAGGGCGGCACTTGTATTTGATCTCAGCCCCTAGGGAGCAACAGACACGCACTTTCGGGGTGAATATGGAGCGAAAGCGAGTGCGTTTGTCAGCAGGGAGAATTATAAATTCTTAGAATCAATACAGAGACTGGAAATGCTCAGTACAGAGGTTTTAATATGTAAATTTGTATTGACATATTGATAGTCTTACAATTAGGGTTGAGATCATAATGAACAAATGCATTCATGTAATGTAAAGAGCTGTCAAATATTGCTCGTTTTATTTCAATAATATGCAAGTTTGCTATCGTTGAAACTCCTAAACTGTTTTGTAAATAGATTTTTTTTTCAAAAAGATTTTATTATTTTTGCGGTTTTGATCAAAAGGTTTTCCTTTAAAAGATATAATTTTGGGCCCTAAATTTACTTATGGCTCCTGCGTTTTATTTTCTTCGGTCACAATTGACTATCTCTACCATCTCTACCGATGGATTGGAATAAAAAACTATCCACGAATTACGATCAAATTATTCCAAAATATTCACGATTCTTTTTGTCTTTACTCTAAAAAAGGAGTATTTTATTTACAAAATCAGAATGAAAAAGAATTACTGCTATAAAAGGCAGCAAAGTATAATGTGCTCGTTACATTATTTAAAAAAAAAAAAAGACGGTTCAATGCATAATTTAAATTATAAAACGGGGACATTTTCAGTAAGATGTCTGTGTTCATGAATCTTGCAAAATGGTACAAAATAATGTGAATATAAATTTGGGCACATATGAAATATTAATTCACACAACGCTTTTTCCACGTAATTTTCTGTGATTATCAGATGACTATTTTTATTTTCTCCCCAAACATTAATTAAGCTGTTCACAAGAATGTGGTTTGAGTGACATCTGATTTAATTACACTCGCCCAAGTGGAAACGTTTCGATCGCTTCCAGCACCAGTCTGACGTTGCGAATAATATCACGAATTGCGCCACAAGAGCAAACATCAACTTTTGAACTTGCCAAGTCAAAGACGGCGAGTGAGGAGGGTGAATTATTTTCACCCAAGCAAATTACTCGGCGTCGGGTACGTACGTACGGAGGTATGTGTTATTATAACAAGGGCGACGGGCCGGGACTTGCTTGCAAGCGAAAATGAAGACAAATTTGCTTTTTGTTCCATTTTCGGGCCGCACAAATATTTGCAAGGTGCTTGCGCGTCTGGTGTCATTAGGCGACATTTCAATTTGTACCTAAGCGAAGAAGTCATTCTGGCAAAAAGAAAGAAAACCGCGGCGAATGTAATTCCATGTGACGAGCGAGTCTCTTTGGCGAAAGCAATTTACGGGCGCATCTTTTATTTAGCGACCGAGTGATGCAAATGTCAATACGCCCATTAAGCTCAAAATATCACCCAGCCGCTTTCATTGTTGGCTACAAAAAAGAGGACGTTGGGCTCATTTATTTTATCTAAATGCGCGCCAGCAGCATCAGCCATTCAAAAAGCCGACGCAGGAAATTGGCACAGAGGGTTTTTGCGCACGGCAAACACTCTGCTAGCTCGCTTGTTGCGAATTAATCAGTCGCGACCGGATTCAATCCCGAGCCTTTTTACCACACTCGATCGGTTGACCGTTATTCGTTTTCCTCGAAATTTAATTAGCTCCCCACTGATTGGCCTTCTCTGAACTAGCTCGCAACACGGTTTTTCCAGGTATTGCTTAATTTACAAAACAAGTAAGCGGTTTTGTAGTCAATTTTGCATGATTGGGTTGGTTGAATAATCTAGGAATTCAATCTGGTTGGATTCCATGCTTTATTTTTGTCTAAAAATGTTTTTGGATAAAAAATATTGACCAAAAAATTTAAATATTTTTCCATAATTAACATAATAATATACTATTTTATTTTGGAAATTTTGGCCACTTAAAGGGCTGATTTCGGAGATTGAAATCAAAATTGTCCAAAAAGGTGGGTAAGTTTTTCATTCAACGTTCAGTCAAAGGCCGCGCATCAGCTCTATTATGTTGGCCAAAAAAAAAGATGTCTTCCGCCCGAGCCATAAGGCCCCATGGCTCTGACGGCAGCCGTGTACCAACATAATTTTGGGATGCGCAGCCTTTGCGTTCAGTTAAGATTTACACACAAAAATCACAAGATATTTTTTAAGTGAATAATACAGAGGACAACTAAGAATTCAACCCACATTATTCAGAACGTACTTAACTTATTCAGAATCTTTTTCCACATTCTGGCAAGGCATATTGATTGATGCTTGAAGATCCTGAAGATCCGTTTTGCATTGAATTATTGACTGCGCTAAATTTGGCGAGTGAAAGGTAAGAACAGAGTGCACAGATCATAAAAAAATACATTGCGCTCCGAGGCATTTATGGCAATATTGCACTTTTTATTACGGCCATAGCTTTCGTAATCTGGCTCTAGACGGTATATTCAATAATGGCTCACTTGCACCGTGATAAATTGCGCTCGTGGTGAAAATCGCAAAAATTGATACATTCTGCATTCATGAATTATTCACTTTGTTTAATAATTATTTTCTTGCAACCAGAAGTTTTTATTTTTTTTCACTAAAACTCGCTAGGGATTAATTTTGCAGACCCTAACCCAAAATAAACAGATGAAAACGAATGCAGCACACTCATAACAAGCACATTTATTGATTTTCTCACGTTCCGCCGCTATGGAAGCGGTTGCTGGCCGCACAAAATTAAATTGCTCCAGCGCGAACCGCACTTATATCCATAGTACTATACACTTGGATATCTTATTAACAGAGAAGCAGTCGACCTCTTCAAAAAAAAAAAAAAAATGCAAATAAAAAGTAAAAATTTATAATCAGCCCTAACACCGCTGACGCTATATTTAATCTTTTATCGCCAGTTGCGTAGTCGACAGATTAATTTCTTTTTCAGGCATCTTTAATCTACAGGCTTTGATAATAAAACGATAGTTTGAGAAAATAATGAAATTAATAATAAATATCTTTTTTAAATTAGCCTTATTTTAACTGACTTAATAACTATTTCTTTTTAGTTGTAAGCCGTACAAACAAAAACCAAATATAGATTTACTTATATTTTAAAATTACATTTTATCGTGGTTGAATTAAAAAGGCAGGCAATATGAAATATTACCAAACAATTGATCACTAAATTTAATTACATAATAAAGACATTGACCTAAAAGATAAAAATTTGCATCTTTTAGAAAATCATAAATAATATTTTCAAATTTAAAAAAAATTAAATAAAAATAAATATAATTTTTGACGATGAATTCAACCATGGCTCGTTGTTGCCACCCTCGAGAGGGTTGCACACGCAACCACGATTTAAAGGTGACGTCCTTATAAGAATAAAAAATTTATCAAATCCCCCTTTTGAAGATGAGCAGCAAATGAAATTTAAAAGAACTTCACACTTACCTTTTCTGCAAATGGGTATCCTTTTATTTACACGGCGGCAGAAGCAGAGGGTTGTGGTATTGACGTTGCACACTGTATGTATCCTACGAGAGGGTATCCACCTGGAAAACACACTGGGCTGATGGGTCGACGGCCGAAAGCGGCTGGGCTGGCGGCCGAGGGCGACGACTTGAGACACCGAACCTGAAAATCGGGCGTTCGGACAGTTTGTTGCGATTTGGAACAGCAGCTGCGGGTCGGAGAGACCACCACGTAATGGCGGTACCCAGGGTGGGGATTGGTGCTTACTTGGGGCACGTATACGTCGGTGCTCGCCTCGGCCGACGGTCGGTGGGCGGCCGACGAGGAGAACAAGTGCGTGTCCGAGTGGTCTATCTTCTATTCTGGGTTCGGACGCGATCAGCCAGACGTTGGCCAGACACAAAACTCGATCACGCCCCTCGAGTAACCTACTAAAAATAAAGTCGCACCACCAGCTCGGGGCCGCCCGCTGTCACTGAGGTGTCGAGGACCTGCACCCTCGAGCAGCCCGCGACACGCACTCGAATCACTTTCGGGGTCTGATGGCCCCAGAGGTGTCCCCCAGCTGGGTTTCGAGCGACCTGGCAGCAGTCCGTGTGTTGTGGAGTCACTTCAGACTTCACTTGCTTGCGGATCGCCACCACCGTAGCTGGATCCGTCAAATGGGGGAGTCGCGGAGAGTCAACACAAAGAGGGCTGCCGTCGAGAGGGGAGACTCGCGAGCTCTCTCCGCATGTGGGCGAGCTGCCCGCCCTCGCCGCCCGGATTCGCATGCCATCTCATGCGCCACGCGCGAATCAACCCTTTTCACAATTCTCAACGACCGGTCTCTTGATTTTTTTTTTCAGTCGTTTGAATTATTCAAATCTTTTCGTTCTTCTTGTACTTTATGGCTTTCGCACTCTATGGACCTGATAAAAGTTAACTTCGACATTTGAGTGCTCCTTTGAAGGTATGCAATCAGCTCAACACCTGCGTTGAGCAGATTGTATAAATCAGAATTTGCAGGGGATTTCATATGGAATAATATAATGTACAATGATATGCAACTATAAGGCGCAGATTTTCATACCGCTAATTTAAATTGAAGTTCGCAAACATTTTTGATGAGTGAAAACTTTAATATTTTTATTAGTGAGTATCAGTGTAATTATCACATTGTATTACTACAAGCGACTTATTGCCATTTTTTTGACACATGAAGCAACTGCATCATTTTCACCCTCTCCGAAAAGGGCCAATAGTAGAGAAAAAAATTATGTAATTTTCACAATTCCATAGATATCCAGAGTATTTACCAAACAATTTAAAAAAATGCTTTAATATAATTAAACTATAAAAAGCCATTGACATTTAATTTATTTGAGCCTATCATTTATGCGTTTTATAAATTTAACTGGTTGCACCAATTTAATATTCTTTTGGCATTAAAACAAAAAAAAATAAATAAATAAACAGCAGAAATCACTTAAAATTTTGGAAACATATTTCTGAAAAAAAAAATCACTTTATACTAGGAAAATAATGTAATCAGAATGCAGCTTTTTGGATTTTTTAATTTATTTATTTAAAGAAAATCACCTAGCTACGTTTGGACTTCTGGATGTCCTTCACTTGAAGACCTGCAACAACAAAATTAAATCATTGCTTGCGGAAATATATAATGAAAAGAAAAAGAAACACGAGAAAAGTATTGAAAAGGCAAAAGCACATGAAGCTCACGCTTTTTAACAGTTTTCCGAATTTTAGCCAAAACATGTTTGATATGGAATTAACCAATTATCTTCCAATATTTTGAAAATTAACATGGTAAACATAGAGCTTCAACTGTCTGCTGGACTTAAATTGAGTTTTTTATATCAAAAAAATATTCTTAATTTTAAAATTTTTTAAAGGAAAAAACATAAAATTCTACTACGTAAATTGAATTTGCAATAATATCATGAGGTGAGTATCAGGAAAATAGGTGCCGCGCTTTGTGATTGAAACACACACATAAGATGAGATGAACTACAATGTTATCATCTTTCGAAAATCTGACAAAGAACCCCCATCATAACCAGTGTCATCATGAGAGGAAAGCAAAGGTTGAAACTTAATTTTAGTGCAGAATATTAATTTTGCAAATACCTATTCATAATAAGTTTATTAAACCGTTTAAAAGCTCAGACCGCCCTAGACGTCTCATCAACTTTAATCAGTATCCATAAACGATGCAATAAAGTCTAGTGGTTATCATCATAGCAAGTTAACTTCTTTGACTTTTAATGATTAAAATTAAATTGGTTTGATATAAAATGACATACATAGTATTTCAATGGAGAATAAAATAAATTACAGCAACAAAAGAAGTAAGATCACACACGGCACCTATCTAAATTCCTTTATATACCTAATAATTCACTGCAAATTCCTTAAGAAAAATTTTATGATGTACATTTCCGAGTGGAACAAATTTATACTGAAAATTTTTATTCTAAATACTTAATGACATAAAAATGATCAGAAGATTTTGCTTTGATAAAGTAGCTAATTTGGTTTCCATCCATTGATCTGATCATTATTACTGCTTACGAGGGAACCCCAAATACAAAATTAACTAAGTATCATGATGAGACTTCAATATTAAGAAACTGACGATTGGCAGTTGAGATTAAGCAATAATATGCAAAGAATTATAAATTTAAGAAAGATTCTGAGAATTTAATTATTCTTACTAATTCGCTGTGCGTCCGCGTTCTTGAGCTAAATGCTATGCTTATACCAAGGATTTAGCTCAAGAACGCGGGCGCACAGCGAATTGTGAAAAATACTTTAAACAAATGAATAATTTGTAAGTAAAGTTGTACAAGGAAAAATTAGCCTTTAACAAAACTACAACAATTTAAATGCGCTATTCATTTTTTAAAAAAAAGATCAAAGAAACGTGCACTCGAAGACTAAAAAAAAATCGCATAGTGAAGTTTCTCATTGCATTACAAATTATAAATAATACCAATAAGCGACACATACCAGGTGGCAAAGACTGTCTGACTTTCTCAGCCTTTTCCTTGTCAGTGATAACAAGGGTGTAGAGAAACCTGCTGCAACGGATCTTCATCTTTGTGTTGTCCTTGTTCCTCTTAATGGTGACGGCTACAAAAATAAAAATATAACATAATCTAGACATTTGAGGCTTTCCACAATTAGCGAATAACTCACATTTAGCATCCTTTTGATTTCTGGCAATCAGCAGGAATTGCTTGATTTCCTTAATTTCCCTGGGCTGTGAAATAAATTGAAAAATTATAATTATTTCCCGTGTGTCAACAAAACCCCGACATGCTTACCATGTTGGCAGGTTCTCTGTTTTGGTTCTGAAAAAAATAAATGTAAACACGTCAGTCCAGGTTTACAACCACCGTTGCGTAGGATAAAAATTAAAGATTGTTTTGGCAATACAAAAAATGTGATTAATTCAATTTTAACTTAGATGATTGAAGATTTTTGAACAGAATTTTGAGTTTACCTCGAGATACACTTCACAAAGAAATGTCACGTGACCAAATTTTGATGAAAATGCACAATTTTACGCCATCTGTGTGGTAAGGAGAATACTATCATCTTCATGTTGCCAACATTAAAAAACTTGATGGTGATGCGGATCTCTAATTTAGTTACGTTTTATGAAAAACTTTCATAAAATTTCTTTTTCGTTCAATAAATTTAATTTTTCATTGTGCTATATTTACTAAAATTTGAGAAAATACGATATGAAAGTTGCATTGAATGTATATTGTTAGGTTGTATCTCTGACTAATGCCGACATGTTACTTTTCCCCTTCCCTCTAAATTCTTCTGTCATTTGAACACCGACGTCGAAAGAGATGGTATGTATGAGACTCGAACTCTAAATCTTAAAATATTTTAATCATCCTGCATTGTACAAACTCTAAAATAGTTTCAAATTGAACTTCGGTTATCGTTTCATCGTTCGGCTACTAAAGTTTTCTCTAATTTAATCATTTTTATCGTAAAATATGAAACGCCGATCGAACATACCCTATGCCACGTGAGGTGGTTTGTGTTCGGCCACGTTTTTGCTATATTTTGAATTTGTTTCTATATCCTGAATAGTACAAAAGTACAAAGCGTTTGTTCATTAATTAAAAGTATTTTCAAGAGGAATTATATTTAAATATATTAAGTAAATGTTGTCCGTTTGTTCTTTAGTCGCACCGCAAGTTCAGTGCCCCTCGCCATGGCTCCATGGGATTCTATCCCAAGAAGCGCTCATGCAGACATCGTGGCAAGGTGAAGGCCTTCCCTAAGGACGACCCTAGCAAGCCTGTCCATCTTACCGCTTTCATCGCCTACAAGGCTGGCATGACACACATTGTCCGAGAGGCGGACAGACCCGGTTCAAGTGAGTTGATCACGTGGCCCACGCCACTCTTTTTATACAAGGGACCTTAATGATGATATATCCTTTGTGTACAAACTTATTATCTGATACCTTTGATGTTATCAAACGACGAGCGGACTGATTTGTTAAATGTTGTTTAAAATTTCCCAAGTTTTAATTTGCTCAGCTTCCTTTTTATTTGCCAACAGAGGTCAATAAGAAAGAAATTGTGGAGCCCGTCACCATTTTGGAGGCGCCTCCTATGGTCATCGTTGGCATTGTTGGCTACATCGAGACTCCTCATGGCATGCGTGCCCTGAAGACTGTCTGGGCTGAGCACCTGGGCGAGGAGTGCCGCCGTAGGTTCTACAAGAACTGGTGAGAAACTATAATATTTTTCCCTAGTCAGTCTAGTCAATAGGTTTAAAAATTTTATTTTAGTAAAGGGGGGTATATTCGCTATGATGATAACCACTAGACTTTATTGCATCGTTTATGGATACTGATTAAAATTGATGAGACGTCTAGGGCGGTCTGAGCTCTTTCAAATGAAGTTTTTTTGAATTAGAAATGTTTAAAATCCCAATTCAGCACAAATACTTAAATTTCAACCTCAGCTCTCCTCTCGTGGCACTTGTCATGACGAGGGCTCAGACTTTGCTGCCTGCTTCTGGCTGAAGAGCATTGGCAGTTTGCATTCGATGGTCTCCGCTCAGGTGACTGATGAGACCACGTTTGCCTTTGTTTGACCAAAACAGGTACAAGTGCAAGAAGCGTGCATTCACCAAGGCCTCCACCAAGTGGAAGGAGGACATCGGCAAGAAGGAGATCGAGAAGGACCTCAACAAAATCAAGAAGTACTGCAGCGTCGTTCGAGTCATCGCCCACACTCAGGTAATTAATTGTTAATAAATAACTCAATTCCGCCCCTTGTTTTAATTGATTAAATTAAAAATTGAAAAGAGTTTAATTTGGACACTTGGGTGATGGCGGCGACTGCCAAGTTGCTGCTTGATCCCGAAAGTGGCTCTGGAGCTGCCCGTGCAGTCTATTCCCAGCCACAGTGTCCAAAATCAACTCCATCTTCGCCACTTTGGCTGAGGAAGGGCACGAGTATATTCCAGAATGGTCCACGAGTCCATTGGGCAGTGAAGTGGGGCAAAGGCCATGCTCGAGACATTCCCATTTTATTAAACTTAATGATTCAAATAATTTCACTCCAAAACTTATAGATAAAATCTTGATGTTTTAGATGAAGTTGTTGAAGAAGCGTCAGAAGAAGGCGCACATCATGGAGGTCCAGGTCAACGGTGGCACCATCAGCGAGAAGGTCGACTGGGCCAGGGAAAAGCTGGAGAAGCCAGTGCCTGTCTCTGCTGTTTTTGCTCAGGACGAGATGATTGACTGCATTGGTGTCACCAAGGGTCACGGCTACAAGGGTGAGAATTTAAAATTCTGCTTAATGTATTTGCTAGCTCTTAAACTTCCTTTTTGAGTTTTCTTTTGTAAAGAATTTAACTGAAATTTAAGTTTTAGTCAAAATTTCTTTCTAAAGATTTACTATTTTAAGGAAGTTTTTTGGCTCGTTATCCCCGTTTTATGATGAATGTTCTATGTGCTTCTGAATTGTATTGAAGAAACAACCAGAACTGCTGCCTTCCTTCTGAATTTTTAAATATTCATCCACCCCTATTCTATGTACTGTATTTAACCCATGCTAATTTATTTTGCTTTGTGTCCGCAGGTGTCACTTCTCGTTGGCACACCAAGAAGCTGCCCCGTAAGACTCACAAGGGTCTGCGCAAGATTGCTTGCATTGGTGCGTGGCATCCTTCCCGCGTCCAGTTCACGGTGGCCCGTGCTGGTCAGAAGGGCTACCACCACCGCACAGAGATCAACAAGAAGATCTACCGCATTGGCAAGGGCATCCACACCCAGGACGGCAAGGTGAGACTTATTTTTGTTGTAATTCAGTAGGACACTTGGGTGATGGCGGCGACTGCCAAGTTGCTGCTTGATCCTGAGAGTGGCTCTGGAGCTGCTTGTGCAGTCTGTTCCTAGCCACAGTGTCCGAAATCAACTCCATCTTCGCCTCCGGGCTGAGGAAGGGCTCGAGTATATTCCAGAATGGTCCACGAGTCCATTGGGCAGTGAAGTGGGGCACAGGCCATGCTCGAGACATTCCATTAAACTGAATGTTTTGAAGTAAATTTTTATAAATTGATTTCATTTTTTTTATCCTCAAATCGGATCAGCTATTTTTCAAGTCATTTTCAATATTGCTTTGAAAATTGGAACTAACATGCTAATTATTTTATTTCTAGGTTATCAAGAACAACGCCTCAACTGACTACGATCTGTCGGAAAAGAGCATCACTCCCATGGGTGGCTTCCCTCATTATGGTGAGGTCAACAATGACTTCCTCATGATCAAGGGTTGCTGCATGGGATCCAAGAAGAGGGTCATTACTCTGAGAAAGGTAAGAATCCTTTATGATCTAGTTAAATGTTATATTATTTCCTGTGATGATTTAAACTGAGCCAGTTAACCCTGGCTGATTTTTTTGATGTCGAATGATAGGTCTGAGGCATTTCTGTTAAACCTCCATACCAGTAAATTATTCCTTCCAAAATGCTCAAAACGTCTTTCAATTTGTTTCAGTCTCTTCTGGTGCACACCAAGAGGGCTGCACTGGAGAAGATCAACCTGAAGTTCATCGACACCTCCTCGAAATTCGGCCATGGCCGCTTCCAGACTCCGGCCGACAAGGCTGCCTTCATGGGACCTCTCAAGAAGGACCGCGTCAAGGAAGAGACCAAGGCTTAATGGACTCTGTGTCAAATAAACTTGATAAAATTGACTTGTGAATACTTTTATTCAGTGATGTTATTACCTTTTAAAATGGAGAATTATAACTGAAAATAAAATTATATTAATTTCTGAATTGAAATGTATCAAAGTACCAAAGTAGTAGTTTTTAAAGTAATTCCAGAGCATATGTTGAAAGAACCTTACGTTCTAGTGATGAAATCTTGGAAAATCGAGGCTGCTGAGTTTGCCCAAGCAGAAGAGACACCAGCAGCCTTTGCAAAATTCTTTTACTGGCCAGAATTCACGGACTTAAGTGACATGTAGCTTAAGGATCGGGACCATTTTTGACCCAATTTCTATGGCTGATGATATAGTGACGATGCAGATTCTCAGGCTTTTCCAAACCAATTAATAGTTTTATTGGCCACTTTCTGGGCTACGGCTGCCGACGTGGCTGTGGAGCTGCCCAGCACCCAGCAAAGGAGCATCACCACCTCGAGCTGGACCAAGATTTGGCAGAGTAGGCTGCGAGAGTGTTTGTGGCCACTATGGCGCACCGGGGCTGAAGCATAAAGAGCTGCTTGCAGATAATCCCAGCCACGTACGTTTGGTGGACAAACTTAGCTAGACTGGAGATCGTGTTTTTCAATCTTGTTTTGGATAAATTAATATAAAACAAAAAAAAATGTCATGAATTGTTTTTGCAAATAAAATTAGCATAAATTCTTCATTGAGGATTTAATTATCTTTGAAATAATATACCCCTTTTATGCGTGGCATCAAGATAAAGCTCTGCTCGGGCATTGGCAAGAATGGCATGCTATTCCTCTGTCAAATTAATAACTGAGCGCATACTACAGTAGAATTCCTTGTCATAAATGATAAGTACAAATATATAGTTCTGTCATCACGAAGGCTAATGAATAATACGTATTTTTAATTAACATTAAGATCATCATGCATCTTTATAATAATTTTACATATCTATGCTACATTATACAATTGTTCCTTGGTGAAGAATTCAAAATAGCAAATTAACATAACGAAAAGCCACATCCTCAAGCAAACGGTCCCTCAGCAATAACATTAGGCTGGCCTTCAGCGTCCTGCAGAACAAGAATCGAGTGAATTAATATTTCCTTATGCCAGAGGAGCAAGCTGAATATTAAAAATTACCAGCTGATTTTTATTCTCACTCGGCAGCGGCTGAACACTCGTTCTGGCAATGCTGATTATGCTTTGATGGTGACTCAACTTCGTTCACCTCGTCCTGGACTGGAGGCTCAAGACCGTCCCCCTCGTCCTGGTCAGGTGCCTCTTGGGCGTCCCCCTCGTCCTGGACTGGTGGGTCAAGGCCATCCACCTTGTCCTAAAATAGAGTTAATTAATTTTTCCAGAATATATTATCGACTGAGATTGGTATAATAAATCCAATTTATTATGCCGAGTGGTATAATTTTTGCTAATATATCATTATAATGAAATAAATACCAAAATATTAATCATATTAATATCCTTATGGGCAAATGGTATAAAAAAGCTTGGATTGGTACTATGTTTCTCATTTATTATATCAATTGATACATATACCTGAATTATTTTACCTGTAATGATTCAATAATGGATTTTCATAAAAACCATATAAAAATTATGAATTATTTTTAGTTAATTAATCCTTCAAAAAACATTGTTTTAAAACAACACCAGAACCCCTATAGCTTGAATGTTTGTGAATTATTAATTTAATTTTAATTAATTAATTTCAATTTGCATAATTAATATCTACAATTTGATTTTGACTGGGAAATCATGGTATTGTACCAAATGATATGATAAATCTTGGATTGGGTATGCCAAAGGAGCAAACAGAATGTTAAAATTACCAGCGGCCGATTCTCACTCGGCAGTGGGTGAACACTCTCCACGTTCACGTTCGTTGATGCTGGTGACTCAACCTCCTCCTGGACTCAAGTCTCAAGAGTGTCCCCCTCGTCCTCATCAGTTGCCTCTTGGGCGTTTTCCTCGTTCTCGGCTGGCTGCTCAAGGCTGTCTACTTCGTCCTAGAGAATAGAGTGAATTAATTTTTCCATAAAATATATTCTTGACTGAGATTGGTATAATTATAATAAATCCAATTTATTATGTTGTTTGATATAATTTTTGCTAATATATCATTATAATGAAATAAATACCAAAATATTAATCATATTAATATCCTTATGGGCAAATGGTATAAAAAAGCTTGGATTGGTACTATGTTTCTCATTTATTATATCAATTTTGATATAACCTGAATTATTATACCTGTAATGATTCAATAATGGATTTTCATAAAAACCATATAAAAATTATGAATTATCTTTAGTTAATTAATCCTTCAAAAAACATTGTTTTAAAACAACACCAGAACCCCTATAGCTTGAATGTTTGTGAATTATTAATTTAATTTTAATTAATTAATTTCAATTTGCATAATTAATATCTACAATTTGATTTTGACTGGGAAATCATGGTATTGTACCAAATGATATGATAAATCTTGGACTGGGTATGCCAAAGGAGCAAACAGAATGTTAAAATTACCAGCCGATTCCAATTCTCACTCGGCAGTGGCTGAACGTTCTGGCAATGCTGATTTTGCTTTGATGGTGACTCAACTTCGTTCACCTCGTCCTGGACTGGAGGCTCAAGACCGTCCCCCTCGTCCTGGTCCGGTGCCTCTTGGCCGTCTCCCTCGTTCTGGACTGGTGGCTCAATTTGCTGCTGTGGCTCGAGCCCGTCCACTTGATCCTGCGGCGGCGGCTGGACTCCTTCCATCTGAATTTGCGGCTGGACGCCGGTCATCTGTGTCTTTGTTTGGCGATGATAGAAATTCACACTATATTTAAATAATATTTTTAGTTTACTAATTTAAAAATTTGTTTGGTATTTAATTTCTTTTACTCTAAGGTGAAGGTGCCAATGTTGGGATCAGGTGCATCGTTGCAACTAGGTCCTGTCCGCCGGCCTGGCCTGCTGAAGGACCAGCACCGACGACGTCAACCAGCCAGCAGTCATCCGGTGAATACTGTATGTCTAATCAATTTAATTTATAAATTTTTATTCCATAATATTCTTGTGCTACAAAATCAGTTTATGTGCAGTGGCATTTGGTCAAATTACATAGATTATTTAATTTTCTTCCAAAATTTAACTTTATTATCGCAGCGCTGCATCAAAAATATTTTAAATTGTTTAATTTTAAGGTCAACTTGCACATTGCAGATTAAATGACAAAGAAATACATTTCGTATAAATGTAAGGTAACATTTTTGTGACGTCGTCCGAGACAAAATTGTTTACCTCGTTTGCAAAACCTTTATTCGCAGTTTAAGGCGTTTAAGGGATGTCAATACTCTATAGCTATTTTGTTTTGACAACAACATGCTCCTTGCGAGCCCACCAGTCCCACCACCACGCTGACGCCCCTTACAAACTGCTGAAGCAAGCATGACGGTCATCAGGAGGGATTCGGCATCCCCGGTCGCGCTCCAGGTGACCCCTGAAAGTGTCCCTAAAGCAGAACTTTGCCGCGACCCTTGGAGGCTCCAGTTCCACCTGGTTAGTCCCGTCTCTCAATCACACACCTGTATTTACATACACTTTTCTTATCATGCACTGGTCTGACTGGTCTGTCTGACTGGTCTAGAGTGTAGAGAGAGTATATGGGGGAGACGAATGCTACGCCCCCTTTTGAGTTGGCTGGCAAGGAATACATGAGACATGAGACCAAGGCTTAAATAATTGGACTCTTATCAAATAAACTTGATAAAATTGACTTGTGAATACTTGTATTCAGTGATATTATTACCTGTATAAATGGAGAACTATACATAGAAATAAAATTCTACTGCCTCAAATGAAATGTATCAAAGATAGTTTTTAAAATAATGCATTATTTGAAACAATTCTACTTATATTACTAGCTGCAATTTTAATAGATAGTTTGTTTTATAACAAAAATAAAAATATCATCAAACTCGGCTTTATTACATGCATACAGCAGAAAGGTGGTAAAACGTGACATCATTCAAGACACCATGCAGATCAAGCCCAAAATACATAAAATGAGAATGCCTCAAATTAAGTTTTGCTGCAATTTTCTGGTCACAAGTCAATTTACTAACATAAATAAATAAGGAATATCTATTTTACTGAAGAGGCTTGTAGGGCAAATTATATTATGCTGAAATCTCTGCATGCTGCTAATTGCTAGGAAGCACACAACAAGCCAATTTATTTATTAGTCACGCTTCATTGGCCGTGAAGGAGAGTGCGCTGAGCTATGTATCTGTAAAAAGCTCAAAAGAGTGTATATTTTTCTATTTTCGTCGAATAATAATTGACACGCTCATTAAATTTGTGAGCTTCAAGACTTTTTTCCTGCACAGTATGGGAGCCGCTAATTAGAAGGGGAAAATATTGCACAAATAGGGATGCGCATTATAAATTTAACATAAAAAATGTATGTAATAAAATTAATAGCTTGTCAGGTATCGAAATTGACCCTTGTTTGGTGTACGAGAGAGGTCACAGGTTCTAGGGAATCTAAATGGAGTGGAGTGAGGAAAAGAGAAATTTAACGCTTTGACCAGTAACAATGATTGTAATATAGCTTACGGGCTTTCAGCTTTAACGCAACCTATTAAAATTCAAGAGGTAAATATTAATATGCTATATTCTCTTGTCAATGCAATCCTTTAATTGTATAAATTGTGTCGTCGTGTCTCATTATTTTGTGGTCTAATCTATAATTTTACATCATAAACAAATCAACTTGATTAATTCAAACTATGGGTCCTTCCATATTATTATAAAGAAATCAGATTGATCCAAGATAAAGTTTTTCATTTGCATAATTCATCTCATAATTTCCATAAAAAATAAACATCAGAAAAAATGTGTTCCCTAAATCGGAACGACAAAAAAATTCAAATAATAAATTCTAGATGATCGCTCTGACAGCTTGACGGGCCAAGAGAAGAAATTCTTTTTTTCCATCGCTGGATCTAATCTCATCTTTTTTTCCGCTGCACCATTTCATTCCAGCCATTTATTCTCCGAGATGATGCGAGTGCAGCTTCTCGTATAGGAAATTACTTGCATTTGCCGGTGCGGAGCTAGAGATCTAATCCTCTTGTTTATCATTTTTATTGCTTTCTAACGCATGAGGGGCTAAACGGAGTCGCCGGCGTGCGCGTTCCGAACGAAACTTTGTGTGCACTCGGATATTAGTAAAGTGCGCCGCGCGCCAGAGATGCTGAATGACGAGTTCACATTTGGGGCACGGACCGCATCATCACATTTTTCTTTCTCTGCGGTAAATAACTATCCGAGACTGCATTAGGGTTCTCAACTTTATTTTCTTTTCTCGAAGCTGAATATAAATATTTTTTTCAACAAGAAAGCCCAGCAATTTACTCTGCTCTTTTAAACATTTTTATTTTATTTCTTTAATTTTTCGCAAATTCAAGAATATTATAGCAATGATAGGAAAGCAATTTTACTCTAACTGAATATTTTCAAACACCCAAATCATTGTTGACTCCAATAATGAGCAGACGGAGGAATATGTTCGTAATTTATTTGTTTGGTCCAGAATGTTTATTTTTCATCTCCCAAAAACGTGTCGGAATGTTATTTGTGTTGATCTACCATCAAGAAAACGTTTGGTCAAATAATACATTATTATTTAATATTTCCAAATATTTCTATCTATAATATTAACCCTAGATATAATCATTTGTTCTGATTTTTTAAAGAATCATCAATTTTGCAATTTTTGAAAATCAATAATCAGGTTCAGGGTTAAGTGACAGCATAAATTTTAATTTCATTCATTTAATTTAATTTTTTGAGCAATGAGCAGAGAAAATATGCTCGTAATTTTATACTTATAGTAGAAAGTGGAGTGAATTAAATTTCATTAAATTTTCATTTTATTTTTTCATTTTATTTTTTCATTTTTTTTTCTTTTCTAACTCGTCAGCAGTGGTGACTGCAACGATTGGCGTGTTGGATGGTGAATTGGCCCGCAGCACTTTCGCGCTCCTACTTTATTTTGATCGACAATTATTATAGCCGTGCCTGCGTAAATTATATACGCAACACGACTTCACACGTTAGGATAGTATATGTGTTTCGCATAATCACGTCTACTTTTTTTGCTTCAGAGAAATAAAATAGTGCCAATTAAGGTGAGCAGAAATGCGTGTGTGTGGTTGTTTTGAGAGTGCGGCTAAAAAATAGCTTGCGACTAGGTTTTTGTCTAGTTTTTTTTATAGGCAAAGAGCAGCTATAAAGACGGTTGATTTTAATCGCGAAGGCCGCTAGCTATAGCTAATATAATTTGCAAATATGCAAAGCATAGCTTGTCCTATAGAGGCCTGTCTGTTATTATTATCGGTCTAGTGTGGTTTATGACCACAGATTTTGCGGAGAACAGTTATGAATACAACTTTCTGCTTTTGAGCAAAATTAAAAGCGCGATCGGATTATTGGTATTTCCTTTTGAAATCAGCTTTTGAATTGTGAAAGTGTGGTCATCCGTTTATGGCCTCTCCTCGTTATTTTTTTGTTATCCGAAAATAGGTAGATCTAAAACCCTTGTAATTGTTTGGCTTAGTTTTTTGCTGACAAATTTGAGTTTAATGATGGGCAGGCCTCGTCAGGTGTTTGGAACTTCCTGAGATGCTAAGCTATACCTACTAATTATTTGAGAATAACTTACTGATGCAACATGTATCATTTCTTGGTTTCCTACGGGGAGAAAATTTTTGGTGAGAAACTAAATATGATAAAAAAAGTTGATCAAAATAACAGAAGAAAGAATAATAAAACCATTTTTCATTGAAAAGTTTCGATAAAGAACGATTAATTAAATTTTTTTATAAACTATTTAATTATTTCTATAACCACGAGCATAGCATAATATGAAAAATACATAATATACCAAATAAACCAATTTTAAGGAGGATGGATAAATAAAAAATTGGTATAAAATAATTTGCAGTTATCCACTAAACATGCATATTATTAAAATTATATCCAGATGTCAGACAAAATTAAATTATTTAGCAGCCGGTCCTTAATTAGTTAAAGGAGGAATGCGCGCCACACAAGTCGCCTCAAATATATTAATGCCCCGCTTTATTTGCCCTCCGCGTGGCAGAATCGAATAAATTTACTCGCTCAAATGAAGTCGTCGTCTGTCTGCTTAGATTTCCGAGACGCTCTCTGCGGGCAACATCTGCCCGTTCGTCGTTGAATTCCCATGCGAATATTTTTGGCGAGCACTTCTCCCTCTCACTTGGCGGAATCGAGCAAAAAGCATTTTCTGCATGGCATTTACATCCAAATTGCTGACAGCTAATATGAATACCGGCCCGACATTTCCATAGCGGGGCAAACGGCGCTCGGCGATAAATGTCGATATCGAATGTGCATGCACTTATGCCAAAACGAGTGATAGCTAAGGTTTCTGGTTTCCTCTCCACTCACTGGAGTTGCAAAAAAATATAAATGTGAAATGTAAGTTAATAGGAGCTACTTTGGCTCTTTTTGAGGTTAAAATTTAGGAGTTGTGATTTTGATACTGATCACTTGATCAGGGGGGGAAAAAGTATATAAATTCATACGAAAAAAAATTTAGTAAGAAAAGTAAAACAAGGAAATTCGATCGATTCAATTGATGTTTTCTCTTCTTTTCTTGCTTATGCTCAATTTATGTGAATTTTTACTGATTTATTTGAAACACATACACGATAATTTAGATTATAAGATAATTACATTTATTTATTTACCTTTATAGCAGTCAAAACTTGAATTATTTTCAAATGAATTTAATTTTCTTTAAACATGACGGCAAGAAAATATTCCCTTTTTTATTATCGGTCTGTGTAAGAAGAAGAAATTAAAAATTATTGGAAAAGCAATAATGAGTTTTTTTGCCGAATTAACAATTTTTCCCGCCAAGTCCAAAAAAAGGAATGACGTCAACTGCATAATGTGCAAAATAATAAATTTCCAATGTCGACCCGCACAGTATCTCCGCCTCGATCTCTAATGAACGTTTTAATAATCAGCAATAAAGGTTGCTTGGTGTACACATTGCTGATCTCTCCGCTTGCGAGTTAATTGGTGCAATAAATGTCATCTATCACTTTGTTAATATATAAATATTGGAAAAAGGTCAGTGAAAATAATTTGCATTCATGCGGGAATAAAAGTGAGACTCGCACTGCAAGGTGTCATAAATTGCAATTTGCGAAACGGGGCTTCATTAAATTTATGCAAATTTTTGCTGGGCCCATTTTTCGTGACAATGGTCTACTTATCGCCTGGTGCGTATATTTGCTTGCATTAAAAATAAAACGCCTCTAAGTTGCTAAGCAATGATAAACGGAGTTTTTTTCGATGGGTGTCTCAATTAAAACCTGTTTTAGGAATAGCCGTGTGGCTAATTTACTTGACCATCAAACTCCATGACGGCCGTTTGGAGAAGAAATGCGAGAAAATTCTTCGCCTTCACTTGCGCGTGGTTAATGTAAAACACGTGGACTTGCCAGATTCAAACTCTTAAAATTGTATCCATCCAATCTCTAAAAAATTTAAAGCTTTTAATATTTTACAATAATTCCTTTCACATCACTCACATGTCATTATGAAATAATTAAAAAAAATCCATAGTATAAATTTTTTTAAATGTAGCTGAGAAAACAGCATTTATTATCTGCTATTGAAAAATGGAATGCGCCAAAAATATAAAAACATGGAATGATGCCAACTGAATAATTTAAAATGCATTTTTCTTTTTAATTTACTTTTATAAAATTCTAACATATCATATACTATCTATGCCCTTTCTTATTTGCTTTTCAGACACAAATGCAGTGTAATTAACAACAAATCAAAAATTTAGCGACATATTGTCTGATTTGAAATAAATTTTTGTGTGTCCTTTTAGAATTAAGTTAAAAATAATTGTACAAAATTTTTTTAATTGATAAAAATACTTTAACAATAATTTACGAAACAAAAAACATCAGATGTAATAAAAATAAGAAACCCGAAGCAAATTTATATTAAACTCCAGCACTGCCTAATGAGCAAGCCAGTTTAACAATTTCAACAGCAACGAGAGGGCAGGCGGCACAGGCTCGAACCCCGGCCCTTTCCGAAGGTTCAGGGTGCATCATGTCCTTGAGCAGTTGCCGCAGTATTTTGGAATACGTTTCGTCTGGCGGCCGCACGTCGCCGCTGAGAATCTTGACCGCCAGGGCAGGCACCGACGACGCCTGGAAGGGCCTGGTCAAAGTCATCAGTTCGTAAAGGACGCAGCCCAGGGCCCAGACGTCGCTCTTGCTGCCGTAGGTCTGGCCGCGACACAACTCGGGCGAGAAGTACTCGGGAGTGCCAACAATGGAGCCGGCGCGCGACTTGTTGGTCTCGAGGATTTTCGAAATGCCGAAGTCGCCGATTTTGGCCACCGAGTGGTCCGCCGAGAGCAGGATATTCTTGGACTTGACGTCCCTGTGCAGCACCTTGCGCGAGTGGATGTGCTCCAGGGCGAGCACGAGTTGGGCGAACAGACGCACCACCTCGTCCTCAGCCAGCAGTCGGCCCTTGCGACCTTTCAGGTATTGCCACAAAGTGCCGCCCGGCATGTACTCCATTATGATGAAAACGTTGTTGTTGCGAGTGAAGCGACCGAAGAAGCGGACGATCAGCGGGTGGTGGAAACTCGAGACGACCTTGACCTCCTCCTCGGTTATCTCGGGAGTTTCCTGTATTTCAATTTCCTTTAGCACCACCAGTCGCTCTTGTTCACTCTTCCGCTGGCACAAAGTTACTGTGCCGAACGCCCCGCGGCCGAGAACTTCCAACTCAACAAAGTCGTCCATTCACACGCCTGCAAAAAATTTAGTTAGAATTATATGTTTTAAGAGACCAAAATCAATTAAATTTTTATGGACTAAATAATTACAAAAATTATCTCTCGCCGGTGATTTTCGCCGCGGTTGCTGAAGAGTCGCCTTTCTCTGCTCAAATGGTGCCTGCGAGCTGCAAACAATTGAAAGACCTCTGAGAATTCGCAGTGCAATTTTTGGCGCCGATCATTCCGAAAGAAAACAGAATTTATTCCATCGCTTTGCCGACCTTTGACGCGATTTGTGTGGTTTCAAAACCGACGAATGTATCGCAGGTCCGCTCGTGTCACGCCTCTGCGGGGAGCACCTCTCGGCGCGCCGTTGTAAAAATGTACCTCTAATTAAGCGTTCTTCAAGCGTACCGCTAACAGGCAGACAAATTTATACGGTCCGTGAAACAATAAAGGTAAAAATATTGCAAGTACGAAACCCACGATTTGTGTGCAGCCACGCTGGCGGCCAGAAATTTATTTCCCAGTGCAACTTTTCAATAATATGGGCCATATTGTATGGTCATTCAATGTTGAGTCAATCGCACTTTTGCAACTTCCGCTTTAGGAAATAAATTTAACGTCAATTGCCATCAGATTAATAAATTCAAACTTGTGAAAACAAAATTTGGAATTTGATTTAAAGATCACAAGTGAATTGAATTTGAAATTATATGATTTTATTGCTAAGATTTTGAAATAAATTATTTCAAATTAAAAAAGTAAATGATTTAAAACATGTTCCAGTGAGTACTGAAGAATTAAAAAAATATATTTATAATTCATAATTAATTTATGCCTTTGGCTCAGAAGCATTCTTGTTACATCTGAAAGTCATTGCGAATCAACCTCTCATGGCAAATCAGATCCAGCAACTACTCTCAAGCCATCAATCCCATCAGTCAAACATGCAAAATTGCAAAAATTAGCCGGCGGCACTCTCGTGTTATGATGAAATGACAAACGCTCTCAACAGAGGCCGCGAGAAAAATAATATTATCGACGGGAGAAATCTTAATTCTTCCTTTCCTGCGTCGGATGTATCTGCTTAATTGAGATAATTGCCTGGCCGGCCAAATACAGACAGCGAAGCCAACGAAAGCAAAAAATTATATTATAAATGAGAGAGAGAAGAGACCGCGCGCGCCGGACTTGTTAAATGAGCCCTCGTAATATGGTGCAGCGCTGCGTCTGGAAAAGCGCTCCTTAATTAAGTAGCGTTCGATTGGCAGCTTGATTTATTCCTCACGATTAAAAATTTTCAAGCCTCGATTTTTCACTCGGACAAAAACTTATTGCCAGTCAGATAAAAGTTGATTTTTATAAATGAGAACTTGAATATTTATAATTTACTGTGTTAAGCTTCAGTTCAGCGACCGCGACCGCGCACTTGGATTTTCAAATTAGACAAGGAGCACGCGATCGAGTTACGTGTTTGTAGGCTTTGCAAACATTCATCATCTCTTTGGCCAGCACGACACGTTAAGTATATGCGATACAGAATTTATGGCACTTGTGCGAAAACTAGTTATTCAAAATGCCCTTTGCGAGAGGCGTGTCACTTTTTCTTTTATTATCTTTGGTAATATATACGCCCTCCTTGTGGGTGCTCTCGATTTTATTGACTCTTTCCGACTGAACTCTCACTGATTTCACGCTGCAAACCCAATAATTATGGAAGCTTTATGAAAAAATATATATGCAATTGATCTGTCATTATCTGCGATTCTGAAGTTTATTGAAATAAGGTAAAAGTGCATAAGTTGGTTGTAATTCACAAGCACCATCTGCAGCAAATCAAGTTTTTATGAAGGTTGAGCTAATTTTCATAAATGCTAAACATTGATTTTGGAAATGTTTTATTAACAAAATATATATATTATAAAAAAAATAAAATATTGCAAAATATATTAACAAGAAATAATTAATTAATTTTTTTTTATTAAACAATATTTAGATTTAAACAATAATTTTTTAATAAACATTTCATCAACTTAATAGATGCTTTATTTGCTTCGATGATCACAAAACCACAAGGGAAAATTAAATGAAATGAAATCCTTTCGGAAATTTTATCTAATCATGCACATTACTCATTAGCATGTTTAACCAACAGCAATTGAGATTTCAGCGTATTATTGTTATTCAGTGAACTAAACACAAACAAAACCAGAAATAGAAAACAGGGACGTCAAGTTCCCAGTAATGTGCGGAGAGTGAACAATCGCAAAAGAGCACGCCAATGATGCAGAATTAAAACCGACGTTCTCTCTCTCTCTGCAATTGTTTTACGAGCGATCATAATTTGCAAAGTGCGGCTGCAGCTGTGTGGAGTTATGAAATGGCAAACGGAGAGTAAACGAATACATGAAGTGCAGCCACATGCAGAGACCGCGGAGCGTTTGCATGCGGCGCAGTCGAAAGCTGCACACACGCTTTGCATGCGACACGTTTATCTGGCGCCTCTCTTTTGTTCCATTTCGCTGCTCGGCACACGGCGGAACAAAGAGAGTTATTATCACGTTGTTTCACAGCAGCGCACATGATTAAAAATGTGCCGCCGTGCGCAGATTGAACGTCATTGTCGAAAAATATGGAGCGAGAGTGTATTACATAGGTAAATGTTTGGGTTCTGCTCTGCAATGGGTGTAGGATTTAAATAATAACTGGGGTGCGAGAGCTACTTTTATAATTAAGATTTTTAATTATTATTCTACCTGCGTGCATATTCAGATGAATACAATTATCCTGGAAAAAACAACCCTTCTAAATTAAATTTTTTCATCTCATCCCATTTGGCTGCAGTTTTCTTCAATTCGCCATCTCGGACCTTGACGGAAAGAATTCTTCCTCGACACACACGCGCAGAATATTGGTCTTTGACCCAGAAAATCGCAAGACTGCCTTGTTACGCGGCGTAGAGAGCCACTTTATTTGCGAGAGGTGCTGGTAGTTGCGATTCTCTAAGGATTTGCACTGCGCCAGAGATGTATTTATTAATCTCAGGACACGGCTTTCTCGTTAATGTTGTCATCTTTTTTCCGCCACACGCGCTTTTCAGCCGGGAATTAGCGCCGGCCCGCGCTTTTTCCTTTCACGAACCGGCTCAAAGAAATGCACTTGCCATAAATCACTTTTCCTCCTCGCGCCCTCCCGTATCCTTTCTTGCGCGCTGCGTATCATTGTCAAGTGCGGGCGGCGCGACGCAGCATCTCCTGAGAGATGTTTTTAATTCCCTACCATTGTGTGCCGGTCGCGTAGAGTAATTCGCAAAACGTGACTGCCGTGCAGCAGCCAGATAAAACTGCACCAAAAAATTCCCCTAAGAGTCAAAATTAAGTTTTTTTTCACCCAAAACTATTAAATAAAAAAAGCAACAAAATTTTATTGCATGAAGTGAAGTTCATTTAATATTATATAATATTTTAAATTAGTTTGTAGTTGCAAGAATTAAATAAAAAATGTATAATAATTAATAGTGGAACATAAAATAAAAAAGTATTTTTTTTTTATATTTTCTCCAGCCAAAAACTATTACAATACTATGCAATGTGCCGTTAAATTCAAGAATGAACTTAAAAATCATGCTGATTTTTATTTTTATTAGGTAATATAAATGAATCACAGTTCATATGCATGGTTATTGTAATCAAGGAAAAAATTTATGCCAAGGTTGTTTGCCTGCATGTATGTAATTTAAGAATATTTTCCTTGGGAAATTAATCTATTTAATTTCCTTTTCACCTACCCTTTCTTGAATAATTTTTTAATGCATCGCCACATTTAGCTCGGAAATCCCATGAATTCTGTTTGAGTTGCTCAACCGAATGAATCATGCTAATTGCAAATTACGCGTCTCAGTGAGAAAACACAGGCACCTATTTGCAATGTGCGGTTTCTTTATTTTTATATCGCCAATTGACGCCAGTCCATGTTCAATGAAAGCAGCGATCGCTCGTTGCTGGTCAACACAAGGTCGGCGTCCAGCATGCAAGTCAAGGCCCGAGGTGCTATTTATTGGCCCGCAGACACACACACGTACCTTATCGGCGCACACGCACCACGTTGGCATGCAAATTGACCGGATTATCAGCAAAGTGCGTCTTCCCCGGTGTACACTTGCAATCCGCTCCATTCAATTGTGTATGTTGAGATGCAATTTTGCTGCACCGGGGATGAGCCGGAGAAGCGCATCGAATAATTGCACCCGCGTGTTGCGCAACGGAATATGTCGTCGTATTTCTGCAGATTTCATACGTTCTCCGGAGGAAGTCTCGTCTGCAGGCTGAGCTCTTTGTATGAATTAAATTTGCAATTTGCCCCATCTTTCCGCTGCAAAATGCGCCGCTTGGGATCTTGGATTGCGAGAGATGAAAGTACATAAATTCCAATAAAGTATCGAGAGCTGCTGAGAGGGATGAGAAATTTTCTGAAAAAAGTAATTCAAGTTGTCCTCCACAAATGTTTAGCTACTTGAAAGAAAAATTTCATCAAGAAAAATCTGAGCAGAACCAGAATTGTCAGAGTATAATAAATCTGATCCACATATTTTAATTTAATTGGATTCTTAAATTAAATTTGGGCTTAATAATTTGCGTATTTTTCTTTCCTTTTTGCAATATATTGCAATTAACACTTTTTTATAGCTCAAAATGACGCAATTTCAATTTTTTTAGTTGTATTTTTTTTCTTTTGGCTTTATTTTGATTGCGATGAGTTAAAGAATATGTGTTAAAATCTACCGACGACAAACTCGGTCTGCGCCGAGTTGGATTTCTTTTCACTGTCTTGACGAGAGAAGGAAAACAACCTGATTGGTGCAAATTTTCATTAAAATCGCTCAACATTACGCGAGGAGCAGATTTTTGGCCCTCAAGACGGTCACCGACCTGCTCAGTGCGACTTTTTGAAAGGTGCGGATTATTTTTCAGGTCCTTGTAGACCTTGAGAGAGACAAACATGAAAATAAAATATGAGAAATAAGGAAATAAACGTTTTCAAAATTAAAAAGTATTTTTAATAAAATTTTCAAGCTTTTTTGACTTGTGGAAAATTTTAATTTAATAAATGTCAGAAGGACCCATTCATTATTTAATTATAATTTTTATAACTAGAAAGTTGACTAAAAACTCGACATTCAAAAGAATGTTCATTGTGTGAAAATATCACAAATAAATTGCCAATATATACGAATGAACGTCATCGCATGAGTTTTTGCGCCATTTTTCATTTGTTGTGCCAATTTTGACAAGCAGCTTTTTGCCATTTTCATTTTTTACATGTTTTGCAGGGGGTGTGTGTGAAAGCGGGCGGAATGCAGGAAGTGCCGGCGAGGCGCCGCTGCAGCCACGCACGCACACTCGCTCTTGGTGGTGGTGGAACACCAGGGAGGAGACGCCGCGCGCGCGAGTCCGCGGCCCACGGAGCGACCGATCGGCCGGCGGTTCAGTCAGTTGTCGTGCTCGGCTCTGTTCCTTCGGCTGCACGACCGATCCCAGCGCTCCCGACTCGAACTCGCTCGCTGTTTTTTCCGACTCGCGATCGGTCCTCGGGGCCTTTGGCGAAAGGGACCTCATTTCTCTTCTTTTCGTCCTCGACGGTAAGTTGATCTAAATTTTACCACACTTTTTATAGCTATTGGTGAAATTTAAACATTTTTTTGTTTCAAATTTTTTTTCAGTTGATTAAATTTTTGTAATTTTTATTGTCTGAAAATTGTGTTTGATCCGGATGCAACCTTGCACCAGCATTTTGAGAGACAAATCATTTATGAATTTATGAAAATAGACCAGATTTGTTGTTCAACAAAGTGATAAATTCACAAAGTGGAAGCGAGGAGAGTAATAATTCATCCTGTTTTCTTTCCTTTGACTCTTTTCTCCTTTTTTTCTTTCTCTCTCACATAAGTTTTATTGAGGACGGCGGGTTCATAAAATATTTGGGACGGGTCGCGACAGATGCAAATTCGCTCTGTTTTGATGAATGAAACCAAAGCAGCAATCAAAGTACGCGTCGGCCGTTCTCACCCGAATCAAAATAAACAGCATCGCGGGGATAAAATTTACGTCGAGCGCAAAAAATAATAAAAAGTCTCGGCCGTGTGAGTTTCGCGGAGACGTCGGCCAAGAAAAACAAACGCGCGCGTCTTTGGCGGATTTTCATTATGCGCGAGTGAATTTCGCAGCGCGGCGAGACAAACAGGTGTTACCTGCTGAAATTTATGTAAAATACCACGTCCGGCAAATTCTGGCCGGCCGTGCGTGCAAAATTTAATTTGCAAGCTAGGTGTCAAAGCCTCCCTAAACTGATTTTGCTCGCTCGCACGCCCCTCACATTTAATTTTGATTTACGGTCGGCACACAGAAAATATATTCGTGTGTGTATATATGAGGATTTGGTAGATGAATAATTGCCTTCGGGCTGCGTCTGCATGTAAAAAATATCTTTGAAAACCATTAAAAAAGTCGTTTTCATTTAGAGCTGAAAATTGTTCCGTCATTTCAATAAAGTCATAAATAAAAAACAATCTAATTAAAATTTAGTGAGTCAATTTAAATTTGCTCCGAACATACGCTCAAGTTCGTTTTATTTTGTGAAACATCTTAAGAAAAAGCTTAATTAAGCTTCAAATTTATTACTTTATTTACTAATAAATATTTTTTATGCATTAATTAAATCTCTGCTAATTAATTTTTAAAGAGCAGTGTATTTTCAATTCCATGAAGCATGAAGCCCACGAATTTGTATTGAAATGAGCATATTTAGATTATTACCAATATTGGTCAATTATCAAAATCTTACAAATACCTAGACAGAAAATGCATTTCATCCCTACATTATTTGAGGAATTTAATTTTTATTTATTGAAGTCCCTCTTTTCAAAGATACGTAAGTGAAGTTGGCGATATCGCCAACTTCACTAACGTCTTAAAAAAGAATCTTTAAACACTGCTTAAGTTCGCTGATGTCAAGAAGTTGATTTGTAGAAGCAAAGTTCTTTAAAATTTCTCGAGAAATAGAGTGGATTCAAAATTTAAGTCTGAATTTTAGTTCCTACTTCAAATATTCCTCGACCAAATTTTAACTGGTGTACCTGCTTTTGGAAAGTAATTCTTACTTTTAGCAAACTATACAACTTTTGGTGTTGTTTATTTATTACACACTTTAAAAATTAAATTCGTAAAATAGCCCTGAGAGTAATTTCTAATAAATATGTGTTTTATAATGACACGGTTCGTGCCTAATATTAATTACGGACCATGGTACACATTTGTTAAGCCTTTCCTTGTAAATTATGCTCTGGAATATCAAGTTTTACCAAAAATTTATTGACAACAGACGTCTCGTCCAAATTCCAGAGATCAGCGCAACCTCGTCTAATAATACGTCTCTCGCGATTATTATTCACTGCCCCATTTTTTATGGCGCGGGCGCAAATTATATACAAGAAGTGTATTGCCGAAAAGGCGTCGACACCCGTCGACAGTGTTTATGTTTCGCGCCACAAATGTCATAAAGAAGCATAAAATATGAATTAATTGTCGCGAAGCCGGGCGAAGAGACTAGTCAGTCTCGGTGCGAAATTACAAGACGTAAAATTTAACGGCCGTGTAATAAAAGTGCTCTCGTGTACAGAGCCAGGGCTGCCGAGAGCAAAGAGCAGCAGCAGCAGCCAGCGTGCGTGATAAGGGAGAAATAATGTACGATGAAAGGCCCCTGATTAAGATTGCATTTTATCCGCGGAATTTGGCGCTGGGCCAGCAAATAATAGCCCGCCGGCCGAACGAAGATGTTCCGTGAGCGAATAAATAAAAAGAGATTTCGGCCCAGCAGGCGGACTATGCATGCGGAGAGCGATTTTAAATTTTATGCCCGGCTGCAAAAATGAGATTCGCCGCCGACCGGCTGGATAGTTTTATTCGCAGTGCGCGTTCAAGAAAAACAAGTCTCTTTTGTGGAGATCAAGTAAAATGGCAATAGCAGAGCTTCGACAAAGATACACCGGGGCAGTGAAAAATTATGTATAATTGCTTAAGGGATGTTATTTATTTTTAATTAATTTACAATTTGAAAATAAATAATATATAAATTATTCAATTCATTTATTAAATTTAAATGCTTGAGGCCGGTTTTATTCATCAATTTATGACCTTTCTAAAAGTTTTATTTATATTGAAAGTTTAGTTTTACTAACGGTACCAATTTAATTTACATTCCTGGTCTTTAGATCGTATGCGTATTAAAGTGTCTTTTTGTGTGTGCCATCTTAAATTAAAAAAGCATTCGGAAAAATTCAATAATTTTAAATATTTTACATGTCCCTATTTGGATAAGGCAACGTACAACTTTGCGGAATATTTGGTAACATTTGGCAGTCCGCTCTCGCCCGATTCTTTTTCCCTTTTCTTGCAAAACGATGGCGATATTAAAGGATTTGGACAGCAAGAAAAGTGGCGCGCCGTTTGGAGCAGCGAGTTAAAAAGAAGGAAGGGTTCTTGCCTGCGTCCTCTTGAGAATTCGGAGGAGGTGCTCATTGTTTTTATTGCTTCATCTAAAATGAGCCAGCGCACATCAAAGGCAGCGAGAGAAACAATAAAGGTCAAGTCTATTTTTTTGCAATCAGCATGCCCAATCAAAGCTCGTAGGAATTTTCCACATATAATGCACGCGCTTTCATATACATATATCACGAGTAGGTTTTTGCAGAATCAGTCATTTTCATATAATATGCAAAAGAGACCAGCCGAGTGCGATATTAACTTTTTGACCCAGCTTTGTTCTTTATTGGAAGTTTCCTCTCACTGCCTTCGCAAGCAGTTCGTAGAAAATTCCGTGATATTATAAATTTATTACAAGCAGAAATTTAAATTACCTTCTACAAAAAAAAGAGCGTTAATTTACACTTCATCCAACTCAAGCTCCCTCTGCGTATAACAGTTTTCGCATAAGGAGAGCGATTAATTTGCTTCAAAATGAATTATATTCCCTCTCCTCTCGTGTGTCTGTCTGAGAAGTTAATTAATATTTGCAACCAACATATGTGCTTTCAAAATTATATAAGCGCCAATTTGTTTCAGTAATAAATCTGCTCGGCAAAATTCAACTTTCGAATTGAAATAAATAAATTTTGATAAAAATGGAAGACAACGAGAAAAGCAGGCGGCTCAACCAACGTTTAATAAAAAGTACTCTGCCTACAGCTCTGCAGTATTTTTTTCTTGCGATATCACCGCGGTGATAAATTTTTATTACACACGTACCAGACCAAATCTTGAAAAATATCAGAACAAATCGCTCTTCTTAATGTCGCCAATAAATTTGCAACCGAAACCGTTTGGGGAAAAAGAAAATAAAATTAGTGTTGTATGCAAATCAGCAGGTAATTTGTTGCCGCTCTCAGTCGTGATAAATCACCCGTCAATTACCGCTCAACAGGATGATAAATTATTGATTTGTAAAAGTTAGCACTCGTACTTTTAGCTCCGACTGTGCACAGAGTTCAGAAGGCAGCTGTCAAAATTTGGCGGCGTCGATTGAGCTCCATTATCGCTTCGGCACAGCATTCCTTCTTCATAACAATGTCGTTAGAGGATATTTAAATTAATTTCTTGCCTCGAGGGCTCTACGGCGCGAAACACCTTTTCAATTGACGCGAGGGCCGTTATTACAGCATGAAGGAGTTTCTATATTCATATGGAGCTCGCGCGTGTTTCGCACCTCCCTTCGTTATCTCGTCAAAGGTATCGACGCCGAGAGAGTAAAGGTCGAAAATCATTGCTGGAAAAATAACAGTTTCTCACGAAAAATCGGCCTTGGAGATTGAGAAAATTTCTCTCTACTTGCTTACCTTCGTAATATCAGATTTCAACGATTTTCTTTCCCAAGAAATCACGTTATTTTCATTCTCTGCTTTTTTTAATGATATGCAAATCGAGTCTCGTGGCTCGCGGTAAGAGATTGGTCTATAAATACTCGGCCGTGCATAATCCAATTTCAAAAAGGTTATCCATCCTGCTTTCTTCGAGCAGTACACCGCGCATTTTAAGTATGATTAATTCGTCCGAGGGCGCGCGCACATTTGCATTATTCGACATATATAACCTTATAACGTCCGGTCTCTTGCTTCTTGGGCTGCTGTAATTACAAACCTCCCGCGTGTGATGATTGATGCGATTAAAATTATATACATACATCACGCAGGTTTTACTGTTTAGGTCTGCTGAATGTTGTGGGCGCTTCTTAATTTCTGACTCACTCAGTCAGCCACACTGACTGACCAAATATGGGTCAGTTTAAAGAAAAGCGTAGAGGATAATATGGTAAATACAAACAATTTTACTTTTCAGTAATTTCCAAATAAGAAAGATTAGAGAATGGGTATAATTATATTTTCAAAGGTGCCTTTCCCAAGATGGAGAAACAATTACAAAATAATAAAATATTTTCCAAATTAAAATAAAAGATCAAGTAACTATTATCTGTAAATTTTACAAGTTTTCAGACTCTTGGCAAAATACGACTCATTAGTATATGACTCATTAATGTAATTATAAGTTTTTGTAAATCGATACACCATTTATTTAGTATGTGAAGAGAGAT